AAGCCAAATGCACACATTATGGGAGGATAAGAATGGATTTGGCATTAGCCATCCCACGAGTACAAAAGTAAGATAAGTGCCAAAGTAACTACCGATCGTCAGATGATCACATAAGCGAAGTATTGTAATCGTCTTACAATAATTGCGTGTGGATTCTGACAGTGGCATTAAAGGTGATCACCTATTCATATAGGACTGCTTATGATCTCCCTCAAGCATTTGTTCTAGATCAACTTTCCAATGTTTGGTCCTGGACGCAGTTGAAAGCCAGCCAATTTCATTCCTTCAGTCTCGTGGTAGCTGACTGCTCACGTCTTGCAGCATCGAATTCGCTATGACGGCCAGCGTGAGAGGAGTATTGAGGGTAGCATCGATGGAGTCGTCCAATGGAAGGGAGCGTAGTACTAAGTTTATGAGGCCACCTGATTTTTAGCGATTATTTTGGAATTTGCCTGGTTTTAGTACGCCTTCAGGCCAAGCCAGGGCCTTATCCCCTCTTTCCCTCCTCGAATGCATGTATTCTATCAATCGTAATGTCTCAAGGCGCCACAGAGTGTGAGAGACGTAATACCTTCTCCCTACAAAAGTCCTCACGGATGGGGTCCCTTTGACATTCACTTCTAGGAAGGCTGCGTTAGCTGACCCTCGGATCAAGTCAAGGACCAACTCCTTCTCCCCCATCATTAAATACAAGCATTCAGGTCCACCTGATATCTACCTAGTGGGAATGTAATACATTGTTGATGTAACAACCTGAGTTCTGGCGGCTACGCATGAACTGGCCTTCGGGCAAAGCTCAGGCTTAATCCCTTTGTTCCCACTGGAATGCATGTTGTCAGCTCCACTTGCTGCCTTCTCCTACCCTGTGGGAAGTCTTGGGACCCTACAAGGAAGCCTCAGGACATAACAATGTACTCCTACAAATGGATGAATTCCATTGTGTTTTGTTTATGAAACCCATAAAAGCTTCATGAGTACAAAGATGTAATAGGATTTTGTGAACTTACCACAATTCTACTATGATTTAACCTTAACTACCCCACTGCCATTATAGCCTGAGGAAAATTTTTACTCGAATAGGCCAATTACCTTTCATGATTCCACTCTTCATTAAAAATGGAAGCCTTGCTATCCCTTGAATTACAATCCTAACTTATAATAGATTTAAGTCACAGAATAGCTGATTTATTAATTTTTATCGTATTTTTGGTATTATTCTATCAATAAGCAGCTGTCAAGTGCTACCAATTCTCACCTTCTCTATTGGATGATAGAAAAATTGACTGACCCATTAGTTCATACTATTCCTGTTCCGCCGTTCCGCAGCGATTGCAGTTTCGCCCGTTCCTCTTATTTAAATGTAAAGTAGCTGGTTTGTGTTTATGTCTTCTTATTATATGATTGCCATTTTATTATTTT